AAAGACCGGAGCCATATAAATATGCCGGAGTGGACAAGGCTGAGGACTCCGACGGACTGGCAGAACACACAGAACCGGACAGTCCCGCAAACACCACAGCCTTTGTGTATGGTTGAATAAAACCATTGCCTATCAGAAGCGCTCTCTTGCCTTCTTCTGCCTATTAGTCGGGTCAGAATAAACTGGGCTATAACATCTGGTGACGCCGAACTAAGTGGGCCACAATAATAATTTTGGCGCTATAACGGGTCTCACGACTCGAGTTGCTGCGGCCCACACGGACAGGGCGTGCTTTGGCATCTGTGAACCATTGCTGTCTAAAAAGACTTAAGCATTCCTCCAAGTCATCGGAAAGTCCTACGAAGAATAATACTTCTCTTAACGAACTGATGGTTGGTCCTTTCTCATGGAAATACCATTTTAGCGTAACATCTGGAAATCAAAGTCGCTAGTCTTCTTGCTTCTTTTTCCATGAATAATATTAGCCGACAAAGCATGGGCTATCACTGCAGGTCTTGTGAGGTTATAAAAGATGGCTTCGCGGGTCTGGTCATCTCGCACGGAGAGCGCTCTATTATATTTTATTCCCTCGTAAACTTGATCTTGTCCTCCATGAATCAGCGTAGCCCAGGTGAGAATTACTCATCATCTACACTCGTCCCTTGCCACGTCAGCTCACTGATTGGTGATAATGATGAGTATTCGTTCTGTGCCACCGCAATCAGGAAGTGATAAAAAATCCGTTCCCTCGCTGCGTGTATAATAAGGGATGTCTACTGCTCAGCATCTGTGCTAAAGCCAGTTCGAGCCCCTTTGTGCTGGGTAAATGACACATTTAATGAAGATCTATCGTCCTGCAGGCAGGCTAGGTGAAAGCGCTCCCCTAGCCTGATATAAGGGGATACAGTTAATCGGAAGGCGAGACCTAGTCACCGATCTTATGAGTTTAATACCTCAACGCATCCATCGGTTCACCAAACTTTATGTAACGGAACGCTCATTTTTCACTTGACAGAGGGGAGATATGTTAGATTGGACTGCTACACCCCAAAGAACTCCCACAGACATAAGTTTGACCATTCATGGGTCATGCGCAAACACAATTACCCCAGTGGAATTACTCTTTTGGAGTGAGAAGCAAGCAAATAGTCTTATGTTTCTGTATTCAATTCCGTTTCCTCACTTTTAAAACGCAAGATTGGCAGTTTAGAGTCAACCAAACACCTATTCAGGAATAGTGAAGTAGGTTATATTATTGTAATCTGTCAGGAAACATATAT